CTGAAATCTGAATCTCTCCAGGAAGTTTCTCTGGATGTCTGAGTGGCTCTGTGTCCCTCTCCCCTTCCCCCACAGCTGGCCAGGACTGGGGTCTCCTGAGGTTCCCTCCCCCTGCCCACCCCCAACCCAACTCTCCTGCCGTGGTGGGGCAGGGTCTCACATTCCAGTCTGCCTTAGCCTGGCCTGTTCCTGTGGACTTTGGGTTTCCTTATTGACCTGAAATCCTTCTCCTGTCATGTGGTTTTCTTTATTTGTTCATGGCCATATTTTTCCATCTTGACTATTTGGATTGTCTCTGCAGCCTCTACTGTTCAAACAGGACTTTTTTTTGTTTTTGGTTCTAGAGGAGCGGAATGTGGATTTCACATAGACTGAGGAAGCTATTTCTCAGCTTTGATTTCCAAACTGCGTCAAAGTATCAAAAATAACAAGTAGAACCTTCAAATTTAGGCTTTCAAGAAAGACTAAGGGTCAGCTCAGCATACTGAATGCGGGGGATGATTTCCTTAAGGAGCCCAGCTTGGAGGCCGGGGCTGGGAAGGGAAGGAAGTGTGCGTCTCGCAGATGGGCTTCATAGACAGGTCAGGGGTGAAGAGGTCTGTTCTGTTTTTTGGGGTTTTTAAACCTGTGGATGGTGGTGGGTAACTGGGTTAAAAAAAAAAAACAAAACAAACTCAGGTGAATTTGGAGGGAGTCCAAGAACATCTGATTCCTGTTTTCCTGGGAGTGCGTCCTGGAGGGAGGAAGCCTCTCAGATGAGCTAGGGTCTGCGGAGGCTCCAAGACCAGAAGGTGGAGGGTGGCTGCTCACTGGGAGGAGGCAGGTCTGGGCAACTGAGGCACAGAAGAGGCGTGGGTTGTATTAAAGAGGTTCTATGACCTCACAACAGAGGGGACATCCACAGTGGGCTCCTGAACAAGGCGCAAGGGACCAGACGGTCCACGCCACACTACAGTGGACCCCCCAGGGCAGGATGCCCCGTAAACGTTGCTTTAAGTCGATACCAAGAATTTCAGATGAATCGAAGGCTTAGAAGCACAGGATGAAGGGTAACATCTATTCCCATTTTTATATCTGTTTAAAAAAATACTTTTCTACATTGTGTGCTAGGCAAGGTGATTACTGTTGATTTGATTCACAGATTAGATTAATGGGGTTTTGCAAGACAATTGAGCCGTGAGTCAGCTCTGTGGCCGGCATTCTAGGCTTCTGTGTCCCTGAATCCACCACCTGACCCCTGGCCTCTAGAGCTCCTCTGTCCTGTCCCGCAGCAGGGTTGGCTACTGCGCCCGGGTGCCCTCCGAGCCTTCAGCCCTCGCTCCCGCCCACAGCACAGTGAGGGGCTGGGCCAGGCTGCTGTGCTTCACGCGGCAGGAGTAGGAGCTGGAGGCTCTGTCCTGCGGGGAAACTGACATCACCACCCAGGACTGGTAAGTGCTGTTTCCGCTGGGAACAACGTCTCCCCCCGACTCAGCCTCCTGTGTATCGTCCCCCTGAATCCAGTGCAGCTCAATTTCTCGTGGGTAGAAGCCATCGGCTCGGCACTTGAGTGTCTGAGTTTCTCCTGGGGTCCGGTGGCTGGTGATGGACACGGAGGGGGGATCTGTGAAGGGACAGAGCGTGGACATCGAGGGTCTGCTCTCAACGGCTCCCGCTCACGTCCCTTCCCTCCCGCTCTCTGGGTGTCAGTGATGAGCAGAACTCCAAGCTCTGTGTCTGCCTCCCCAGGGAACCTTTGCGAAGATCAGGCAAGGCTGAGGGTTCCCAGGAGCCTCCCCGTTGGATCGTGGAATGACCACAACAGCCCTCGGGCTCCCCTGTCCCTCCACCCTGCATTGACATCTGATGGCAAGAAATTGTGACTACCCCCCCATACATTTTTCTATTTTTTCCCAAACTTCTGAGTGAGCTTTGGGGCTCCCTCCTCCCCCAGTCTCAGCTCTGTGCCTTAATTATGCCTGTGGCTCTATCCATCAGACCCATGACTGCTCTGTCCCACAGGACCCTCGTTCTCATTGTTTCCCAAACCAAAGTCTCGGCTTGTGACAACCAAGCTCTGACAGGCAGGCATTTTCCACACCTGCCTTCATTCACTGCCCAGCTGGGAGGCATCATCCTAGAGACAACACCTGGGCCTGAGATGCTCCCCGGGCTCCCAGCCTGAGATCACCTTGGTCTTTCTCAGCTCAGCGCGGGGGGAGCAGGACCTAGGAAGCGGGGGGTACCTTGTCGGTCCAGGTAGGTCTTGCCGTACTGTAGGTACCTCCGCAGCATTGCCGGGCACTCCTCCTCCAGATAGGCCTTGGCCTGCAGCACGTAGACCTTTTCTGCCTCCCACTTCTGCTTGGTGTTCAGAGCTGCTGGGTCCTCGGGGACCCAGGCTGGGATTTCTTTGTTGAACTCGATGAAGTTCCTTCCATCATAGGCATACCTCCAGAATGCTCCACTGCTTTTGTTATTCCAGAGCTCACAGCCAAACATTCCCTGAAAGGTGTGAGCCCCTGCACCCTCCCCGGGCCCCCGGGGAAGTCAGTCAGCCTGGCATCGACTCCGTTTTAATAACTTTGACTCCTACACAGTTTGCAGAAACAACAGGAAGCGAGGTTTTAGAAATCTAAGCATGAGGTCCCTTTATCTTGGCAAATGGGTTATGAGCCACACATACAGCAGAAGAGGGAAAGGTGCTTTGGTTTGGTGTTTTAGGCCCATCTGAGCGGCGATGCATCCTTCCCGGCTGGGGAGGGTCAGGGAGTACAGACCATGCACCGTGCTCCCAGCTTCCTGCCCCCCACCCTCTGGCATCATCTCATCTAGTGAACTTCGAATACACTGGGAGTTCTTAGGAAGCTGACAGAACCACAATGAAGCGCCATCTCCAAGTTAAACAGAATTATTCGGAGTTTTATATACAGATTACCGAACCTCTCCTTTTTCTCGCTGTTCTAAGTGGAACTGATGTTACCGCTTGAGTAAACATGATGTGATCACGGCTCCCCTCTTTTCTGGGGTCTAAGATCTTCATTACGAATCTCTGAAGCCCCCTCTCAGCCCAGTGAGCAACAAGTCTTGGAGACTGCCCTCCTCTGGGAGGGGGACACAACTGGTGTGGACCCGATACTGATTAGTGCTGTGGGCCCAGGCTCTGATCTCAACCTCCCTGGGCTCAAACGGCAGATCTCTCTCCACCCCGACCTGGCTTGAACTTGAGCGTTTACCCTCCATGTGCTTTGGTCTTCTCAGCTTGGAAACAGCAACGGCCACAGTGCTGCTTTAGGGGGTTGCTATGAGTGTTACCAGTGTTGATATCTGTGCCTGGCACATAGTAGGTGCTCAGGAAACGTTATTCTCACACCCTCCATTCCTCTGTTTACCCTCTGTACTCATAATTACTTGGTTCAGCATTTTTATTCCAGCCAATCACATGTCTGCTGGTGTCCTTCCCGGGCACCCTCTCCTACTTCTGATGCACAGTGCGGGCCATTTTCCTTACCAGGGCTTCCCATTCCTTATCCTTCAGATGTCTGTGTACCTCTGGCCTCCTATAGGAAACTTTCAGATTCTATGTAGCTTCTTAGGCATTTTTGTGCTCAGAAACCCATCTTTCGACACTCACCCTATGATGATTTAGCATCAACAGTTCACCAGCCTGTGACTGGCTGACTTGGGAGACAGGGTTGGGGGTGGAGGGGTGTGGGGAGGGGTCCCGGCTCCTCATCTTCCTCCTAACACAAGTCCAGATGAGCCCTCCCGAGTCTGCTCCTTATGGACAGGAGGGTCTTCAGGATTCCATGTAACTCTTAACAGTGTGTGGCTTTGAATTCAGTCCCTACTGAGCTCCCAGTATGGGCCATGGTTTGTGTGAGGCATTTTCTCTCAATCATTCAACATATTTCATTTGAGCAGGTTATTAGTGGCTGTCCCAGGTGATGGGATGATCGGGACCAACGATGTTCTAGCTTTCATGGAATTTGCATTGGTAAGTTTTGTGGAATCTTTTGGAGGTTCCAATTTCACAGATTCAGGCCAGATGATTAAGAACATGTTCATTGTCAAACAGCTAGTGACTGGCCGGGCCACCATGTGAACCCAGGTCTGACGGACCCCAGGGTTAGCACACTCTTCCCAACATCCCTGGGCAGGGGAGCCTGATGCCTTCTAAAGCAGGATCAGCCTCAGACAGGTTGGGCTGTGCAGCTGAGAGGTGATGCATGCCCGGATGAGAGCTGACTCTGACATCACTTCCTGTCACAGCCGAGGCCTAGGAGTGAGGATGGGACACAGGATGGGGCAGGGGGAGAGCGGATGCGCTGTGGGGTGGGGGGGAGGCAGAGTGTCGGCGTACTTCTACCCTGCTCTCCGTTCCTCCTTCGGGACGGGGATTACTTCCATCCTGCTGACCCCTTTCCACTCACCCCTGCAGGGCTGCCTCTTGAGCTAAGACCCTCCACTCTAGCAGTCCACAGTCCACTGACCTTCTGTATCCTTGTAATAGTCCATGATGTCCTTCAGGGTCACCATGAAGATGTCCTCCCTGGCCTTCTGAAGTTCACTCTCGTTCTCTCAGTCCTCTATTCCTTCCATCTGGCTCCAGGGGTACCAGGGTATGGCTTTCCTATCTTCACTGTCATAGTGAAAGAAATCCTGGTCATTGAGGTAGGCTGTGGCCTGGAAGCTGGGGAAGCCGTCCCTGGGCTTGGACAGCCCGGTGTAGAAGCAGCTCAGAGAGTAAGGCCCTGAAAAAGAGAAGACTTTGAGGTGTGGGGTCCATGCAAGGGATGCCCAACGTGGGGCAGCAAAGGGCCAGGAAGGGGGCTGTGGCCACTGGGCCTTGTCCTCCCCAGCCCTCAGCCTCACCACTCGGGAGGCTCACTCAAGTGCAAAGGGCCCTACCTCTATCCTGGGTATGGTACTTCAGACACCATTCTGTGTCTTCACTTCATTGTTTCTTCTTGACACATAAGAAGGTAATATTTCTCAGCCTCCTTGTACGTATTTTGGGATCATGCAACTGAGTTCTGGGGATGTGAGTGGGAGTGATGTCTTTCTTCTGGTCTGAGGCCCTATGAACTGGTTTGTTCTGTCGTTCTTTTATTTATGTGATGACTGTGGAGACCTCAGGATGAAACCAGGAGTCCCAAGATGCAAATAGCCCAGATTCCTGAGTCATCCCAGGGAAGACAGGAATGTTGCCTTATCTGTATTCACTTTACACAAGCAAGAAATAAACACTTGTTGGGTTAAGCCACTAAAAACTTTGTTACTGGAGCACAACTTAATCTAAGACATAGAATTTGAATGTGTAGGAAGAATTTACCGGAAAACTCAGGAGATGACCTAGAATGAATTGGCACAGGGTAAGGCCAGGATCTGGATCTCAGAATTCCCAGGGTTGGCACCTTGCATTTTGGTGTAAGGCAGGGGCTTGGAGAGGAGGGACATTTCCGGTAATTAATTCATGATATAACTCACATCGGGGTTAATAATATTGGAGGTCCTATGGATGATTCCTAGTTCAAGTACTGAAATTATCCTTGCTAATTAGTTTCTCAATGTGATTAACTTTAGACCTCGTGTAAAGCAGATTACCCTTCACAGTGGGTGGGCCTCATCCAATCAGTTGAAGGCCACAAGAAAGAAGCCCAGTCTCCCAAAGAAGAAGGAATTCTGCCTCCACACTGCCTTTGGACTCAAGATGGCAACACTAATTCTCCGGGTCTCTGGCCTGCAGATTTCAATTGTGCCATCCAGTTCCTTAAAAAAAATCTCTTTTTCTGTATTTACATCCTGTTTGTTCTGTTTCTCTGGAGAACCCTGACTAATACAGATTTTGGTGTAGGATGTGATTAACATTTTAAAATAAAACATGCATCCTCGTAGTTTTTAAATGTAACGAATTTCAGACACGCACAGTTTAGCTTACGTTTCTTCCTGTAATTGGTGGCCAAGAAACAGCCTCATTTCCCGTCCTAGTGTGGACTCTGGTGCTTCCCAGATTCCAGCTGGTTTCTTTCCCCCTAACTTGCCCTCGGGGCTAATGGTAGCACTGTGGTCTGACTGTGGGGGGAGGGGGCCATTTTCCTTCTACAACCGTCCAGTTAACCTGCCTTCACATCGGCCCCTTAGGGTTGTTACCTCTTTCTCTGAGAACCAGACAGATTCACCCAGCCACTGGAAGAAAGCAAGGGACAGAAAGTTCTACCTGTGTGGCTCCTGCTTTGTCCTGGCTGTGTGACCCTTGCCAGGTCACTTCACCTCTCTGGTCTCAGTTTTGCTCATTTGCAAACTAAGGGTTTTAGCTTCTGATTGTTAAGGCCTCATTGAGCATGAGTCCAGAGGCTCCCTCAAGGCTTCTTGACATTTGTGAGCTGAGTTAGGTGACAGCCTTGGACACTCACTCCCAGAGTATACCTGGGAATCCCAGCTGCATTAGAGGCCCTTCTCCAGCCCATCTGTCCCCCACAGCCACCCTGGCTTCCTCACTCACCAGCTTGGGTCTCCTGAGGGACTGCAGGACCCAGAAGGAGTAGCAGGGACAGCAGGACAGACACCACTGTGCCCATTTTGCCTGACCGGAAGATTCTGGACTGCCCTGGTTCGTGGAGCTCAGAGCAGACTACTTGGAAATAAAGCCAGGTGTAGTTCTGGGAATGGTTGGGCCGTGAGCCCAGCCTGGGAAAGGTGACTCCACAGCCAATGAGCACGCAGGACAGGCTCCTCCTCTGACAGTGACAGAGAAGGAAGCACAAGCCACGCCGGGCAGAGGTTGCACTCAGCCAGCTCACAGACGGTGCGCAGACTGAGAGCCAAGACGGGCTGGGACTGTATATGCCCCTGGTGACAGAACGCCAGGGCACAAGGGAGGAGGGAAGGGGGAGTGTTAAGTGGCAGATGCCTGGGGTGTGTGTTGCCTTTCCAGTCTATCACCCTAGGCTCACTGGGGGGCGGGGGTTGGGGTGTTGTCAGACCACCTCTGGAAAAGCTCTGCACATGGCCAGAGCCCGGGCTTGGGCAGACCCCAGCTAGGGTGGGACCCTCTCTCTCTCTCTCTCTCACCCAGCACACTGGAGTTCTGCGTGGAGGACATTCACATCTCTGCCTCCCTCCCTCCCTTTCTTTTTTTTTTTTTTTTTAAGATTTATTTATTTATTTGAGAGCGAGCGCGTGCACACTTACGTGAGTGGAGGAGGGGCAGAGGGAGAGGAAGGAGCCGGACATGGGGCTCGATCGCACGACCCTGACATCATGACCTGAGCTGAAACCACGAGTTGGACGCTCAACCGACGGAGCCACCCAGGCGCCCCTGCCTCCCTGCACCCCTTCCTATGCTTGGGGAATCCAGGCCTTTCCACCCTGGAGTCAGAAGTAGTCCGATTCCCCTTTTGGCAACCTCCTTGCAATGGAACAGATGTGCACGGCTTGGGCTCAGTCAAGCAGACGCCGGTGCCCTGGACGCTGAGGCCGGTGTCGGTGAAGCACAGAAGGCGGCAAAGCAGGCGGCCCTTTCTGGGGAGCTCAGCGGCGGCTGTAACCGCCATGTCCTGGGAGCAGCGGGGCTGCAAGCTGTGGGGGTGCCCCGCGTCCAGTGAGGTGGTGCCATTGGTCCCTACTGTTGCCAGCGGTGTGTGTTTACAAGACTTGTTCAGTGGTGTGATGTTTTCCCCTGTGTTTCTCCTACCTAATTCTGAGCCGCGGTTTTCCAGTCTCTCCACTGATTCCGCGGGCTAACCGATAAATCTGTTTATTTTCTGCTTCAAGTCAGAATTAGATTCTGTTTCAGCAACTGAAGATTCTGACTGATAATGAAATTGGGACAGGGAAATGGAGGGAGGGTAACCAGGCTTGATCACAGGGCCAGACTGGGGCTGAATGCAGAGACGATACGCATGTTTTGGGAACTTTCTTGCAGGCTGTGGTTTTGCTCTGTGGAGGGTTAAACCCCTGACTGAGTTATTTCTTGTGGTCCGCCAGAATGAAATGCTCATTGAAGGCAAAATTTTAGGTCCTAAGCAGCTGCTACCATAGGACAGTGTGAAGGGCTTAAGGAAATCAGGGACCCAATTCTGGGAAGGTGGAGTCCAGAAGTGTTGGAGAGCCTAAAGAAAAACAGTGTAAATGCAGAAGCAGGAATTACTGACTTCAAGCACAGCCTGAAAAATCAGGCAATTTCTGTGACAGTGTGGAAAGAATCTTTTGTCTTTTGCAATTGCCAGGATGAAACAGATGAAAACCTAATACTGATTAATGGTTAGAACCTAACAACAGAAAATTAGGTTGTGTAACCTAATTATGAAAACCTAAGAAATCTAATAACCAAGTGTGGTCAGGGCTTTCCTGCCAATCTCCTATGATGGATGCCAACAAGGAATTATCGGAGAAGGAACTCAAATCTGGAATGGTGTCAGGAAAAAGGCAGCATGGGACATATTGTGGTCGAACAGGACATGGAACAGAGAAAGAAATGCCAGTGTCTTTATATACATATATTTATATATGTATATAATATATGTGTATATATAAAAAATATATATTTTTTAAATTTTATTTTTTGGGCACCTGGGTGGCTCAGTCAGTTAAGTGTCTGGCTCTTGGTCTCCACTCAGGTCTTGATCTTGGGGTTGTGAGTTCAAGCCCCACGTTGGGCTCCATGCTGGGCGTGGAGACTACTTAAAAAAACTTAATTTTAAGTAATCTCTACATCCAACACGGGGCTTGAACTCACAACCCCAAAATCGAGAGTTGCATGCTCCATTGACTGAGCCAGCCAGGTGCCCCAGAAATGCCTATCTCTGTTGGCAGATAAAGGACAAATTTTGTAAAGACAGGGATGGTATCTTCATATTCATTTTTCTGTTCCTAGTGCTTAGTCCAGTGCTTGGCAGAGAGAAGACAATAAAATAACACATAAATACATCAACGGATACATGAGCAAAGACAAAAAGAGATGGCGCCAGACCTATGTGAGGGTCATTAAGGCCAATTTGGTGGAAACTGGGTTCATGAAGATTGAGGGGATGGGCAGGTGGGATGATAAATTTATTTATTTATTTAAAAGATTTTATTTATTTACTCATGAGAGACAGAGGGAGAGAGAGGGAGAGAGA